AGACAAAATAGACTCCAACTGGATAAAGTGATAACTGCTAGAACTTTATTACCCAGTGCTTCATCAGACAAGGAGAACCACAATGAGTGAATAGAATTAGGCTTTGCTATGTCAATTAGATGTTAAATAATTGGGGAGCTGGCAGAGAAGTCTGTGCAGGTGTCATAAAGATTCTGTTTGATGTTTGACTGCCGGCAGCTTTCAAGTCCTGCCTCCTCCTCCCCCTTCTGCCCCACATTTGGGCAAGCTGATGAAAGCCTGCCCCTGCTTGGCACTGGCGTGAAGTTCAAACCAGGCATGCCCAAGCCCACCCCTTCAGCACAATAAAAACCAGGGCCTCTTCCTCCTGTTCTCTCTCAAGCCACAAAAGCCACAGTCATCCCAGGCTTGGATACTGTGCTGCCTTCCCAGAAAGTCGCATGATGTGAGTCAGACATTTTTCTCATACCCTCTCTATGTGCGTGTGGCACCATCCATTTCAACATCTGACCTGTTGATTGGGAGGGGGGCCCATCTCATCTCTGCAGAACAACCACAACAGCAAGGCTGTACCCTTTCCCTCTGGTGTTAGGCCTGGCCACTGATCAGGAAGGAAAGCTGGGAGAGATGCCCAGCAGCAGCTGGAATTGTGTGGTTCTGTCCTGTTTCAGTGAGCTGAACCAGATCAACAGTGTACATACACTGTTAGAACTTCTGGTGCCCTTCAGAGTGTTAAAAAATGGCTGCTAGTTCACTTCTGCCTTCCAAGTGTTTCTTGTGGCCAACTCTAACATGGAAGGGACTTATAGAAAAGTTTCAGCTTAGATAAGTTGATGTAATACAAGACCACCACATAATCTAAGGGAGAAATATACAAATCCACAATGTCCCTGAAGAGCTTAACATACCCCTCTCAGATACTGAAAGATAAAGGAGGCAGGAAATGAGTGAAGAAAAAGAAAATTTGAATGACATAATAAATGTGAACTAATAAAAAAAAAAAAAGCTTCAAACCCAGCAGAGTAAACAATATTTTGGGGGTATCTATGGAACATTTACAAAAATTGACCATGTCACAAAAGAATTCTTAAGAAATCCTGGTGCTCTTGGTTCTCTGACCATAATGCAATGATGCTGGAGATCAGAAATAAAAGGACAGCTAAAATCATCCCATATGTATGGAAATTAAATGGATACAATAAATACCCTTAGGTTAAAGAGGAAATTGTAAAAATAAACATACAGTACTTAGAACTGATGGACAATGGAAATATGACATGTCAAAATGTGTGGAACACAGCTAAGTTAGTACTTGAAGGGAAATTGATGGCATTAAATAGGTTTCTTAGGAAAAAGACCTAAAAATAAATAATATAATCTTCAACTCAATAAGATGGAAAAGGAGCAACAAAGCAAACCTAACCAAATGTGAAAGAAAGAAATAATAAAGAGAAAAGCAAAAATTTATGATATAGAGATTAACAAATACAGCAGGAAATAAATGGGAGGATTAACAAAACTAAAAGCTGGTTCTAGAAAGGAATAGAGGGTAATTTCTGCCAAGATGGATTTACAAAAAAAGATGCATGTAAAAATACAGAATGATAAAAAGGAAAATAACTATTGTACTAATAATAACAAGACCATTTTTTCCTGAAAATTAATATGCAAGTATATTTGATAATTTAGACAAAGTAGGTAAATATCTGGAAAAACAGAAAAATACCAAGTTAAGGCAAGAAAAGTGGGAAACTTGAATAAACATCAGCAAAAAATTTAAACAATTATCAAAGATCTCTTCTCTAAAAAAGCCTTAGGCCCAGATGGTTTTATAGGTGCATTTTACCAAGTGTTCAAAGAATAAATAATTCCTATATTAGATGAGTTGTTACAGGAAATAAGATAAGCTGCTCAACCTTGCTAGCAAAATAGACAATGATAGCATGTGGGGGAAAAAAGAGCTATTTCATATATGAACACACATGAAAATTCGAATTAAGATAGTAGCTAATTGAATCTAACAGTATTAAATAGTACATCATGAATAAAATGTTTTATTCTAGAAATGCAAGGATATTTTAACACCCACGCCTTAGTCATTGTAAATTTTATGACATTAGTGGACGAAAAAGAAAAAAATGTTCATTCATCACATACTGACTGAATGCTTCTTCTGTGCTAGCAGTGTTCTACTAAAATGGGCAAGTACACCAGGGAGCGCTCTGCAGCAGTTAGAACCTGTGAATGAGACATATGTGTCCTGGGCTGATTGACTGTCCTGTAGCAGGAAACCTGAACACATAGAACACAAGTCTACATGTTTTTACAAAGACTCAAATCCAGAGGGAGAGGGGAATGTGAGTGGTAGGGATGGGGAGATGGAAATAGAATTGCTGTGTCAAAGGATACATACATGTATAAGGCATTTAATACATACTGCCAAATTCATCTCAAGAAAGGTATTATTTTTGCTTTACCGTTTTTTCAAACTGTTAAAATATTTATTATAGTGAAATCAGAAACTGTCATCTAGGGTCTGTAACTTCGTCTCTTTGTCCCTTACGTTCCAAATGGCAAAGGCGTGTAGAGCCATGAAAAACTGATATAGACATGATCTCTTCTTTTATTTTAATAGATATCAATTGAAGTCGAAACTCCTACCCAGATATCTTTAATTGATGAAGCATCGGGTGAGGTAACTAAATATTAAATATTGTGTGATTTTTTAAAAAATTTATGCTAAAATGATTGTCTTTCTCCGTGATTTTGAATGCTCATTTAGCCATAAATAAAAACTTAGTAATTGTGTGAGTTTTTAGGAAAACAAAAAAACAAAAAACCAAAACATTTATGATTGTCTTAGTCCATTTGGGCTGCCATAACAAAATACCATAGACTGGGTGGCTTAAACAGACATTCATCCCTTACAGTTCTAGAGGCTGGAAGTCCAAGATTAAGGCTCTCACAGGTTAGGCGTCTAGTGGGGTCTGCTTCCTGGCTTAAATATGTCCTTACCTGGAAGGAGTGGCAGACAAGCTCCCTCAGTCCTCAGGCTCCACCCTCAGGAACTAATTACCTTCCAAAGGCCTCCTAATGAAATCATGTTGGGGGTTAGGATTTCAACATGTGAATTTTGGAGGGACACTAACATTCAATTCATAACAGTGTTGTATTTATTTCCTATACTGAAAGGATTGGATGTAGCTTATTTTTTGTCAAAGTTGCTCTTTTTTAGAAATACATGCTAATGATGGGAACACCAGGTGTTGATATTACTACTATATGATGTCATTGTCACATTTATTAAGTTTATTATAACATTCAGGATATGAAATGGTTAATAGTTTTGTAGCAAATTTATGTATAATTTTTTTTTTCAAATCATTTTCTTATTCAAAATAAAGTCATTGCCCAAATGCATAAAACATATTTTTTATTCTTAAATTTGGAAGTAAGTACTTTTATAAATGTACAAGGGTACTTCAAAAAGTTTATGGAAAAATAGAATCAAAAGATGGTACAAATCTGTCCATGAACTTTTTGTATCATTTTGTATTGTTTTAATAGTAAGTAGGAATATGGACCTACCTTTACCTTCTTTTTAAAAAAATACCTTAAATTATACCTAGGACTAGGAGGTAGTTTCCTATTTTCTGGCAATCTAGTTAATATTAGTTCTGTAACCTGATTATAATGTGTGGCTTTAACATGTTTAATTCTGAAAGTGTCTTGTGTTGTACAAATGTGATCAGAACAGAGACTGACTTTTTCAGATATTTCTTTTTTGGAGAAGATCGGACAGTTGAAGTATTCCTCTCATCAAGTTATCCTAAGGGAGGATTACAGACCCAGTTTTCGGTGGGTTAAAAAGGAGAAAAAAAATGGATGGCCTGAGCCTTTCTAAATGTCATCTTGGGCTCAGTTAGTTAAATGCTGGTGCAGGGAATACTATAATTTGTTTGCAGCCTTTGCCACAGACAAGTATGTTAGTGAAAGGCTTTCTCAAAACTGGGCAGCAAACAGTAGGCAGGCTCTTATTGAGCAGAGTGTTGCTGTCCCACTCTCATCTTTTATGTGTCTTCTTGTGCGCCCTGGCTTTTGTGCATTATTTATCCAGCACCAGCCAACGGAAGACTCCATTTGAAAGAGGTCTTCAGAATAAAGAATATTAGCCTTCCATGAGGAGCCACCATTCTTGGCGTGTCCAGAGCTCTGTCCCCACTTGCTGATAGCTGGAGAGACAGCACTGCCCGGCAGCCTCTGCCCTAATAGGACAGTGTGATATGCAATGTGGTGAATTGGGACTGGGGTACATCCAGACAGCTTTATTGAGATATAATTCATATACCATACAATTTACCATTTAAAGCATACAACTCAGTTGCTTTTAATATAGTCACAGAGTTGTGTATCCATCACCATAATCAATGTTAGAATATTTTCATCACCCCAAAAGAGAAACCCTGTACCCCCTGCTGTCATTCCCTACCTCCCTTCGCCCCAGCCCCTGGCAACCACTACTCTACTTTCTGTCTGTATGGATTTGCCTATTCTGAACATTTTGTGATCATACAACATGAAAAGATCATACAACATGATCTTTTGTGACTGGCTTCTTTCACTGAGCATAACGTTTTCAAGGGTCAGCCACGTAGTGCGTATGCTGGTGTTTCATTACTTTTTATGGCCAAATAATATTCCATTGCATGGCTATACCACATTTTGTTTATTCGTTCATCAGTTGACTGACATTTGGGCTGTTTCCACTTTTATGCTAGTGTGAAGAATTCTGCTATAAAATTCATAAACAAATTTTTGTGTGAATAGACATTTTCATTTCTCTTGGGTATGTAACTAGAAGGTGGAATCACCAAGTCTTGTGGTAACTCTGTGTTTAATTGTTGAGTGGATATAGATTCTACTTATTTGGAGGATTTGGAGAATGAGGAATTTGGGGAAGACTGGCAGCAAGTTCTTGAGAGGTGCTTGAATGTATTTTATTAAGGAGGGTTGTATTTAGCTAGGTTTTAATGATAACTTCTTCTGTTATTATTTTTTCTTTATTTTCTTTTTAGAAGGAAGAGATTGTTGTGACTCTCTTACCAGCTGGTCACTGCCCAGGATCAGTTATGTAAGGGTGCTCATCTATTTTGCCGTTTTACTATATGTAGGGTCTAAAAAATAATATGTATAAGCAGAATGGACTATTTTTCTGGCAGTTTCTTTAATCTTTGTTTCCAAATTGAACTTGGGGGACTGAGGTAAGGATCAGATTTGAAACATGGCTTTCTTATCGTGGAAGTCTTCAATAGCTGTTTCTCCAATGACTGCATTTTCTCATCATACAGATCTTTCTTTTCATGAACAGAAATGATCTCAATATATAATTGAGAGTGCAAACATATTTCATGGAACAACTCTTACAAACTCAGTAGAATCTCAATTCTGTTATTTTTTTCTACTCTAGGGAAGAGGGGCAGTTAAGTGCCTGGTGTGGTACTTAAAAGCTATTGAAATTCCATTAACATTGTATCATAATGGATATGTTTGGCAGGAAGCATTTGCTGTGGATTTAGCATGTATTTGCTTTATTAAGATTTCATATGAGATTTAGAAGTCACTGATATATTTCCTTGTCAGGTTTTTATTTCAGGGCGATAATGGAACTGTCTTGTACACAGGGGACTTCAGACTGGCGAAAGGAGAAGCTGCCAGAATGGAGCTTCTGCACTCTGGGGGCAGGTAGTGGGCCTCATGCAATTCTTGAATGTAAGCCCACATAGTTAAAAAAGTTTTATTGCTCTTTTCCCACCAAACATAAGCCTTTGTTTCTATTAGAAATCAAATTTGATTATAATATTTGTTTCAGGAGAGCAAATTTTTCTCCTTGAAATGGGGTAACGGAATATTCTGTATGCTGATTGGATACATGAATTTGTCAAAATCCATTGGATCATTTATGCAAAATCTGTGTATTTTATGGTATGGAAATCATTTCCCAACAAAGTCAATTTAACAAGAAAATTCCAAAAACGAACAAACAAAAACCCCCCAAATTCCAAATGGAATGGAATACCCTGTAAAATAACTGAGAGTTTAAATTTTACACATAATTTATGTCATGTTAGATGGCTAACACCAATTTTTCTTTCTTTCAGAGTAAAAGACATCCAAAGTGTATATTTAGATACTACTTTCTGTGATCCAAGATTTTATGAAATTCCAAGTCGGGTAAGTCCACCTGGAGAAACCGTATGATCATCCGGCCAGGCCACATTTCTAGTATAAAGTTGGTTGGATAAATGTCCCTCTTGGCACAAATACCTGTGGATGTTGGGAATGAAAAGGGCAAATGAGGTTCCTCAGAGTGTTAAGTGTCTTTTAAAAATCCTGCCCAGGGGGAGTGTTTAAATGGAATTCTAGAGCTGGTTCGAAGCTGGATCACTCGGAGCCGGTACCATGTGGTGTGGCTGAACTGCAAAGCAGCTTATGGCTATGAATACTTATTCACCAACCTCAGCGAGGAGCTCGGAGTCCAGGTAAGGTGCATTCCTTCTTTTCTCTCACTCCTTTTTATATCCTCCCAACTTCACCTTTCCTTCCCCTCCCACTCCGCAAATAACCCAAAACAGTGGCAGCAACCTGTGAAAATGGGTCTGCAGCAGCCCCTCTGAAGTAATGTGTATCATCTATTTATCTACTTATTTTTATTTATTTATTTATTTATATTTTAATTTTTTGGTAGCTGGCCCATACGGAGATCTAAACCCTTGACCTTGGTGTTATAACACTGCGCTCTAACCAACTGAGCTAACCAGCCAGCCCCATTACATCATCTTTGTTTACTCACGTCCTCATTGGAGGGAAGGGACAGAAGCCCACGTGGCTTAGAAGAGCCTTCAATGAAATGCCCGTCAGAGGGAGTATTTTTTTCCAAACTGTCGGTCATGAAATTAATTTAGTGATTGTGATCAGCATTGAAAATAAATTTGAACTAGGAGATATCTGACTGTGTAACTTGCTGTCAGAATAATTATCATTTTGGGAAAATTGACCTAGGGAATCAGACACATACATGAAAAAACACACATGGATGTATATGTGTGCCGGGTGGCCATGGAAATCATATCTCTTACTGCGGGTCATGGTCAGCAACGTGTGAACACTGTCCTGGAGCACTGGTTCCTGAGCTGCATTGATGGGTCAGTCTCAGGCTGAGAGGGAGTTTTCCCCCATCCCATCCGGATGGTTCCTTCCCCACTGCTCCCTACTGGGCTCCCAAACCCTGAGCAGCAGAGCCCAGGGTGTGGGCGGGTTGCAGGTAGCCCCCTTCCAGCAGCACTCACATGAAGAGTAAGGCTTGTGCTCTTGTCCCTAAGAGAAGATGGAGTTTTGATGACTCTGAACAAAATGAAGTACTGGAACTAACTGGCCTTCTAAATTCTACTTCATTTTGTAGCTTTTAATATACGAGGGTACCTCAAAAAGTTGTGGGAAAATGGAATTAAAAGATAGTATGAATCCTTGCGTGAATTTTTTGAAGACCCCTGGTAGATCCCCCAGCTAACAAACTTGTACCAAGAACTTTAGTAGAGTTAAATGATCTTGTTTTTCTGCATTTGAAATTTCAAAAATCCCTCCCTTCTCTGTCCCTCCCTCCTTCATGAGTTTTTACTTCCTAAGTCCTTCTTTCCTCAGTTTCTTCCTTCCTTAAGTCCTTCTGTCCAAATGTGTAAAGTTGCCAGCTCTCCATTTTGGGAAGGATTGCTTTCATTTGGAGATTGCCCTTCCTTTGTTTTTTGGTGTTAAAATGGCCCTTTAAGTTAAAAAATCACAGTGATAATAGATCGTGTGTTATCACACACTCATATACTTATATGTACTACCTGTACTTTTTAATTCCCTCATGCTCTCTTTTGACAAAATATAAATGAAGCAACCATTCGTCAGTCTCAGATTTGCTTTGTCAATTTTAGTGGTGTGTGGTATGGAGAAGACTGGGAGCTTCCGTTCTAGGGCCCTTGCAGGAAAAAGCCGTGGGCTGAGGAGGGGGCTCAGGGGTGGCAGGAAACAGGCCTTTGGTGGTGACCTCAGAGTTTCCTCTAAGCAAACTGCCTCCAGCGTGAACCCTATCTTAAGTCTAATAATCCTTTTGCAGGGCATAGGAACAATTTTAAAAAGGGAGAGCAGTGAGGTTTTTGACTAAGTAAGGGACTTTAGTGGTGATCTATGGCAATTTTTTCAGTCTTCAATTTTGTGGGAGTGAACGTTTCTATAGCTCTCTTTGTACATCTCAGTATTTACCTCCTTTTCCCCCCTCCACAGAGAGACCAGAAAATCAAATTCATTGTTACTTATTGGTCACTAGTAGATGGGTAATGAGCAGAGTAGGCCACAGAATAAGGACGTAATTATACTGTATTCTTTTTATACCTGTCTTGGTATCAATTACCATGGCAACTTGACATTATTCTAATCTGTTATTCAGACATCAAAATGGGAACACTACTTTTTTTTTTGCCATTTCAGAATGCTAATATGAATTTTGCTACTTATTTACTTTGAAGTAGCTAGAAGATAAGCTTTAAGTAAAACTGACACATTGGTTTTAACACTTTAAAATGAATTAGCCTTAAATTTTAAAAGTTTGAATAATTGCTTTTCTGCATCAGCTCTCCCCCTTTAAGCCCAGTGAAGTGAGGGGATCTGGGTTCTCTGCTTTCTAGTCCAGTTTTCCCCCTACCAACTGCCCCTCTGTGCCGCCTTGTGTGTATGTCTTTAAGAGTAGGTGATTTTTGATTGTTTTTGTCTGCTCTGTTCATTGCTATATACCCAGTGTTTAGAATAAAGCTTGACACATAGTAGGTACACAATAAATATCAATTGAATGACTCTTGAAGAACTGAAGGACAATATTAGCACGATCAAATGATATCCATGAGCCACGTCTCCATAATTTTTTACCACCAGCAACAGGCAGTAACCTTGACTGGCCAGCCCTTTGCCTGCTGACAGCTTGGCGGGATTCTCATGTGCACAGAAATAGCCATAAAGTAGGTTTCAAGAAAGAAGAGAGGGTTAGTTTACTAACTGGATGTTTGGCCCCTGAATAATTACCCTGGAAAAATTTGTATACAGGAGACACATTTCGAGTGATTTGCTTATCTCTGTTATTTTTTTAGGTTCATGTGGATAAACTGGATATGTTTAGAAACATGCCTGACATTCTTCATCATCTTACAACAGACCGTAGCACTCCCATCCACGCATGCCGGCACCCAAAGGTACATGTGGAAGTGACTTTTCTCATATTGTTTGTCTGATCCATAAAAACAGAATTTTAGGTCAAGAATGAACCTCAGAAATTCCATTTTTAGGGTCCTTACTTCACAAATGTAAAACCTGAGGTGACAACTGATCCTAAGTTGTTAACTCAAGGTCATGCAACTATATATCACTGTATTCCATTACAGTACATGACATAATTAGTAAATAGATGCAGATTCTTACATCTTTTAAATGAAATATGTTCCTACACATTTGAGAATACAAATTTATTTGTAACAAAATTAGTGATATGTTATAGCTTATAACTAAAGGAAACACATATTCATGATCCACTGCTATTTATTTTTGAGACTCGTGACATGCACGTTTATACACTTTATTTTTCTTCTACTCGTTTGAGATGAATATCTAGATATAACTTCAGACTTTGAAATAGTTACATGTATTAATTTTTTTTTTTTTTTTTGTCTTTTGTCTTTTTTCCGTGTCCGGCAACGGATTGCAACCCTCAGTGTTGCCCCCGTACCGGACCGGGGACCGGCAACGGGATCGCAAGCCTCGGTGTTGCTCCCGCGCCTCGCTCAGCCAGTGAGCGGGAACCGGTCTGTACATGGGATCCGAACCCTCGCACAGGAGCGCCGCCGCGCTTCCCAAGCGGCGCACTATCCAGTGCGCCACCGGGCCGGGCCTACATGTATTAATTTTAAAGGAATTTTAAAGGTCCAATTTTAAAGGAATGTTTCCAATATCTTTGCAACTTGTAAGTTGTTTCCTAATGCCTCCATAGAACTGGCTTCTGTTATTAAATGCCAGGTATAAGGCTTTCATTTTGAATTTGCCTTTAAAATGTTTTTTTCATTTTAATTGTTAATACTAATTAGTATTCTTCAAATGCAGTGGTATGAGTGATCATAATTTTCCTCTGAATTTTAAAAAGCATTCAAATGCTGAGAAATTGTTTTAGTAAGCAGTGCATTTACACATTTAGATCTCCATCATAGTACTATATTGGCTCCATCAATCAAAAACCTAAAAGAAAGTTGCTCAGCCAGGGCTGGCCCGTGGCTCACTTGGGAGAGTGTGGTGCTGATAACACCAAGGCCAAGAGTTCAGATCCCTATATAGGGATGGCCGGTTAGCTCACTTGAGAGAGCGTGGTGCTGACACCACCAAGTCAAGGGTTAATAAGATCCCCTTACCAGTCATCTTTAAAAAAAAAAAAGTTGCTCAGCTCTAATAAGAAAGCATAGTTTTAAGCGAAAAAAGAATTCTTATCTACAGCATGGAATGTTCTCCTTCATGCCACTGTAAGAGAGCTGCAAGGTAAGAAATTACTTTTGATGATTGGTAAGCTGCATATTATAATTTGCATTCATGAATTTCTTCCATCATGTTGGGTGTGTATACATATATATAAATGCTTATATATACACACACATCTGGTGGATTCTTGGATGGATAAAAATAATGTAGATACAAAATATAAACCATTTTGTCCTTTTTTCTGTTGGACTTGTAGTCTTTGACCCTGTGCCCCATAAATCTCTTAATTGGAAAATTTCCTTTTGCTCTGAATTTTCTCACATCTGACCAAGCACCTTAATTTGTAATCACTACTGCTGTCATTTTCCACATGGCTACTTTTCTTGAGACACTACTTCTAGTGGCTTAAGGTATTTCTTAGATCACGTAGCCTTTAAAAATGCTGACTGCCCCAAAATAAACAAACAAACAAACAAACAACATCAACAACAAAATATAGACTGCTGGGTCCAGAGCTTGTAGGGTCCTGTTGCTATCTCATTCGCAACTTCAGTAGAAACAGCACCAAAGGCATCCTGGAAAAGATTTGATTGGGATGGAGTGTTAATGGTTTTGAAGGATCTATATCTAAAAATGATGTCTTTGGAAAAATCATCATTTTTCAACCTGTTGAAAACACTTTTATTTGTTAACTTTTTTTTCCTCCAACTTTGTTTTGAAAAATTTTAAAACAGAAAAGTTGTTAGGCTAGTACAAAGAACACCATATACCCCTTCATCTGGATTATCTGGATCTGCCAATTTGTTAACAATTTGTCTCAGTCTCTCTCTCTCTGTAGCCAACCTCCACCCCAAACCATTTGAGAGTAAATTCAAACTTCATGGCACTTTACCACAAATCCTTGAGCACATGTGTCTTGAGAACAAGAGCAGATTCCTATGTAACCACAATATAGCTTTTCCACTCAGGAAATTCAATGTTGATACAATGTGATTAGCTAGGATACAGTCTGTATTCAAATTTCCTCAGTTGTACCAATAGTGTCCTTTATAGCTTGTGGGGACAGAGGAGCAGGGACATGTGAGATTTAATTAAGGATCATGTGTTGCATCCACCTGGGGTCTCTGTTGATGTAGATCTTGTCTCCAGCCTTTCATTTCTCTTTCCTCATACTGATGGTTGTTTTGCAGAATGTTCATCAATTCGGAATTATCTGATTTTTTTCGTCATGTCTACATTTTATTTTTCATGTTTGAAACTTATTTATATTTATTTTTGAGACCCTACCAACACACAGATATGTTGAAAATGTAGAATTGTTTTTCTATATTTTTTATCTTTTTTAGGCAGAGGAATATTTTCAGTGGAACAAATTACCCTGTGGAATTACTTCCAAAAATAGAATTCCACTCCAAACAATTAGTATTAAGCCATCTACCATGTGGTTTGGAGAAAGAACCAGAAAAACAAATGTCATTGTGAGGTAAGAAAGCAATGTCATAAGTCTTCTGAGAGAAACCTTGTTTAAAGGTAAGTTATCTGATTTAATTTAGCTTAAATGCAGTTAAGCCTAAGTCCAAGAAGAGGATATAACTGTGGGAAATAACTTCTTAAACTTAAACTTTATTTAAGTTGAAGGTATGCTGCCTTTAAACCTATCGCAATACCATTAGCCAACAAATCCTGAGGTCTACTGTAGTGTGTTAGATAAGATGGTTGGCGACGGAGGGTATCCGAATGCTTGGCTAAGAGTTATAGCCTGATGTCATAGAGAATAGATGCCCTTGGCAGAGTAGAGGAGTTACCATATGACCATATCTTAGCAACATTCCTTGACTTTGGCTATTCAGAATGTCTACACCAGATTTCCATTTCTGGAAGAAGTTCATTCCTACCCGAAGAAGAAATTCCTGATTGAAGGGTGATTGCATACTGAAATAGCCTAAATGGGAAGGGTGGAAGTTTAGAACATAGTTTAGTTTTGCTAACTGACCTTTTTATTTTCTATTTTCACTTCCCTTTAGGACTGGAGAGTGTTCATACAGAGCTTGTTTTTCTTTTCATTCCTCCTTCAGTGAGGTAAGAGGATCTCATGTACTTATAACCCTGGTTGCTGACCATTCCAAAGCCTTCATGGTTGACAGCACCCCCCTTGATTTCCAGAGGCATCTCTTTTTCTATTCAAATCTCATTTTCTTTCAGTTTTTTTCTAAATACAGTCAGTCCTCATTATTTGCAGATTCCATATTTCCATGTTTGCCTACTGGGTGAAATTTATCTGTAACTCCAATATCCATGATCACAGTGCTTTTGTGGTCATTTGTAGACATGTATAGTGTGGTAAAAAAGTTGAGTCACCAACATGTGCGTGCCCAGCTCAGGTCCAACAAGGGGACACTGCCTTTTAGTTTCAATTTCACACTGTAAACAAGTGTCCCTTTTGTGGTCTATTGCGTGCCATGTTTTTTGCATTTCTATGCTTTTTCTTGGTGATTTCTCTATTTACAATGGTGCCCAAGCATAGTGCTGAAGTTCAATCTAGTATTTATAAGTCCAAGGAGGCTATGATTTGCCTTATGGAGAAAATACACATCAGATAAGCTTTGTTCAGGCATGAGTTACAGTGCTGTTGGTTGTGAGTTCAGTGTTAAAGAATCAACAACATATATTAAATGAAGCATCTTTAAACAGAAACATACATAAAACAAGGTTATTATTGATTGCTTGAAAAAAACGATGTCACCAGAGGCTTGCAGGAATTTACCCTGTATTTCCCCTAGGAGCAGTGGTTCAGTATTCACTAATTCAGTGTTCACAGTGACTTTACAGACCATAACTACTGCGAATAGTGAGAACTGACTGTATTAATGTATTGTTTTAAGGCAGGCATTTGATGAAAGTGTGTAAACTTATACAAGTGAGAGAGGGTGCTTCTCTGTTAGGTGTCTCTTGACTCCTTGTGGCCACTTCATCTCTGAGTAGTAATGAATCTTTTCTGCTATAGGCTTGATCTTACTTTATCCTGATTCCCTTAAGAAGCCTTAGATTTCTACCAGCCTCAACTCTGATTGATTGTGCAAATCAAATAGGTGGTGGGCAGGCAAGTAATGGTTTCTATTTGCACGCCTACTTTGAAGGTACAAAAGAAATTGTTTATGAAAGATATCTAAAGAATAGATCTTCCTGCCTCCCCACTGTCCTAACTAAAGTAGCCATTTTACTTTAATATAGAGTTATTGGTAATTCCTGGGTTCCTGTCTCTTTTAATTTGGTCCTTTATTTGGGAATTTGGATACTAATAATTACTTTGTGCTAAGTCTTTCCATTTGCAAAAGGGAATAAAGGTTTTTGTGTTGTCATTATCAACTTTGTAATGGATAATTTTAATAAATGTTTCACCAGGTACTGGGCTAAGCACTGTACATGTGTTATCTTCTTTATACTTTTAGATGAAGAATCTAAGACTTAAAGACTTAAGGTAACTTGACCAAGATCACAAGTTCACTAAGATCTAATAAGCGACAAAGCTGAAATTGGTCTGGGTTGTAGATATGTTTTGATGAACAGTGACACAGTTCCTCTGTTTAGCAGTCTGAACTTTACAAAAAATTAAGTGATTTATGAAACTTTTCCATGTAATTGTGCTTGTTTAGAATTGTTGGGAAAGGCAGTCTACACGTGCATAGTCTTTCAACCCCTACTTGGCCACATAAGAACATGCCTTGGCCCTGGAAACTTCCTTAACCAAGAGATAAAGAGTGCACACACCTCTGTTGGCTTATCACCCTATGTAGGAGCATCTTTCTCTGTTTGAGTCTCACAAACTCTGCCTCTGTGTCAACAGCCCTCAGGCTTATCTCAGCTTTCAATGTTTCAGACACCACAGGGCAGAGGAGAGGGAAGGTGGGGTACTTCCTGTGCGGGAGGAGAGGGGTGCGTGTAAGCAAATTGCCTTGCATGGCTGCAGGAGAGAGAGGCCCGCTGGCCATGGGGGACTGGCGCACACTATTGAAGCTGATCTTGTGCTGTCTGTCTTCTTTAAGTAAAGCCTCGTTCCTTCCAGTGCTTGACTGTGTTGTTTTCTCCTTGGCAATTCCGATATCAAGATGCAATGGGCAGAAGCATTTGGAGTCCTGCGCCAGTGCATGGTGTTCTGCTCAAGGAGAATAGAACATTAGAACAAGTCAAGTAACCCCGAAGATGCAGCTCCCATGATGTTGCTAATGACTGTTTGTAGGAGGAAAGATATGCCGTTTTAAGACCTTGTTGTCTTGTGCGTATTATAGTTGATAGCTAAGTTCTAACTCACTTGAAAGGGGATTTGTTAAATATGGGCGAAGGACCATCTTAGACAAGGAAACAAATGTCCTATTAAAAAATAGAGTCTTTGAATCCCGTTAATCAGTGATCTTAAGCTCTTACCGTGGAACAGAATCACCTGGGGAACATTTAAATGTACTGAGTATTGTTCAGTGTTCAAAGGATCTTTGGGAGTGAAGTCTGGGCATTGGGTATTTCTTTTTCCTAAGAAGTCCCCAGGTGATCCCCACGTGCAGTGGGCACTGGGAACCAGGGCTGTAAGAGATTTCTGCTTCTCTTTACCCTGGCCTCCCCTTACCTCCTCTAACACTGCAGTCTTTCATTATAGAGATAACTGATCCATTTTATTTTCCTTCTTCTAGATTAAAGATTTCTTGAGCTACATCTGTCCTGTGAATGCATATCCGAATGTCATTCCAGTAGGCACAACTATGGATAAAGTTATAGAAATGTGAGTAGTTGCTACTTGCAGAACTTGTATTGTTTCTATTGTGGCTCTTAGCTAGGGGACAAAGAATAGTTTTGCCTGAATGTTTACAAATCTAGAACTGGCTTCTGTTGTGACACTTTTGAATTTATATTCATTTCCACTTTTTGCTTTCAGTGTTTCCTTTAGTTCACAGTGAGGCAGGATGCACAGGTAGTGTTTGTCATTTGGCCTTCTTTGAGTCCTGGTTCTACCTTTTCCTAGCAGTGTGATCTTGGCCAGATCACTTCTCTGAGCTAGTCATTTTGAGTCATCAAAATAGGAATATTTATGTCTATTCAGTGGCTTTCTCAGAGGTTTGCATATGACATATGAAAAGCACCTAGCACAGTGCCAAGTAGGTGGAAAGTTAAAGATATCTATTGAACGAATAAATAAAACCTAGAGGAAAGATGAAACAGTATAATAGATATCTTTTACTATTACTGTTTTCTTCACCTCTTTGAGTTTTATTTATCCATTCATTAAAGATTTCTTTAGTACCAACTATATGTTAGGCACTGTGCTTGTGACCAAGTTGACTAAGACAACACTCTGTCCCAACAGAGCTCTAGTCTCATGGGGAGGATGGCTGTAAATGGAAGCATACTGTACACAAGCCACTATGGGTGCGTGAAGGAATTAGGCCAAGGTGTCAGGGAATCTGTCCCAAAGACTCTCAGGAGGACTTACAGGACCAGTCTTGCCGATGTTGATGGAAAGTGGGATGCAGGAGCTCTGGAGGGAGGTCTGGGTTGGAGACAGATTTGGAGTTGGCTGTGCAGGTGATAACTGATACCATGAATACAGATGAGGTCACTGGGAGGGTGTGAGTAGGGGTCACCAGCTGAGGCCAGGATTCTGGGCAGCACATTTAAGTGAGGAGTGGAGGAAGAGGATCTGGAATGAAATATAGACAGAGTGGCCCAGACGGTGGGAGTAGAGCCAGGTGAGGATAATCATGTGGTGGAGGCAAACGAAAGGGAAAGTAGAGGGTGTCAATGTCAGTCAAATAATAAAGGCACGGCGAAGTGTCCTGTTACCTTGATAATTAGGCTGTTTGTGGGTGCTCAGGGAGAGCATTTTCAGTAGACTTGTGAATTAGAGGCCAGATTTCAGTTGTTTGAGAAATGGGTAACAAGTGAAGAAATTAAGAATATGGAGGACAGGCTATTCTTCCAAAAGTTGGCAGTGAAGGGAAAGTTACAGACAAGATGGTAACTGGAGGCAAGAGTCTAGAGGCTTTTGATCTTAAAATAGCCGAGATTTAAGTATACCTTATGGAAATAAACTTGAATATACGTAGAACTGAACATACTTAAGAATCACTTGGGGTGCTTGTTAAAATGCATATTCCCCCCTTGCATTTTTATCAGGGAATTCTATTGTGAATAGGTGGAAGAGGATGACCTCACTTTGAAAAAGTTACCCAAGGAGAATAGTTGAAATGACTGCAGAGAGAAACGGTAAAAGAGCAGATTCTAGAGGGGTTGCACAGGAATGGATGCAGAAAATATAGGAGTAGAGATTCTAGAGGGGTTGCACAGGAATGGATGCAGAAAATAGTTGTGGACCTGAGAATAGGAGCGAAGACATAAAATGGCTGTAGTTATAAATAATTGTCAGGCTGGGAGCTTAATGGCTCTCTTCAAGTGGTATGTTATATTTTATCCTAAAGGTTTCTGGGAATCTGGCAGAAGGAAGCATTTGGCCATGTGGCCCTCCAAAAGGGGTAGGGCAACTTCACATCTTATTTTGTGCCCTGTTGTATTTTATCTCCACTGTGTCTTAACTTTCAGACCTAGAATGAAGAGATCAAATTTGTGAGATTCTTGCAAGATAGAAGAAAACCTCATTAAATAGGGAAGGGAGCTGGCTGGTTAACTCTGTTGGTTACAGCATAGTACTGATTAAAATGGGAAGCAGGGGCTGGCTGGTTAGCTCAGTTGATTAGAGCATGGTGTTGATAACACCAAGGTGAAGGATTCAGATCCCCTTACCGGCCAGCCACAAAAACAGAAATAAAAACAGGGAAGCGGAAGCAGCTAGCTATACTATATTCCCTGAACACCAGAAGGTGTCACTGTATTACCTTCTAGTTTTTCCTGCTTTTCTGCATTGGAAGAGCAAAGATCTAAGTTTACTCTATTCTAATAATTACATATCTACCAGGCTGTATTTAGTGCATATATTTCCCACTTTGTTATATAAAGTGATTTTTAGCTATTAAACATTGCTTCTCAGGTCTTAAAAATAGTTGTGTGATTTTCCCTACCGTTGCATTTTTGTTATCTCTATAAATGATGCTTATATGCCAGCAGCTTTCTCAAAAGGAAAAATTAAATATTCTGATTCATTCCAGCTTAAAGCCTTTATGCCGATCTTCCCAAAGTACTGAGCCAAAGTATAAACCACTTGGAAAACTGAAGAGAGCTAGAATAGTCCACCTAGACTCAGGTAAGAATGGTCCTGGGTTCAGAAGTGTGGGCTTTCCGCAGAGACCGCTTTTCAGGATGCTCTGGTCTGGTGAAAGTGGCCTTGGGCAGAGTGACCCTGGGACCCACTGTAGCTCAGACTTGTTGCATGGTTTCAGGAAGAGCTTTGCTTTCCTGTCTTCAGCATATGAAATTGGGAGTCTGATCTACTTTGAAGGTTGAAAACAGGTGGTGAAAATGGTGCCCTATTGTATGGTGTCCTCAGCTTTCTGGAAGCATGCCCTATGACTTGCATAGGCCATCGGAGAGGCTGTGTTGTTATCCTTGAATGTTTCCTTCAAGATAGTAGTAAATTCTGGTAATGCAGACTCTTCTTGTCATCACTTCTTTTTTTTTTTTTTTTGTCTTTTTCGTGACCGGTAAGGGGATGGCAACCCTTGGCTTGGTGTCGCCCGCACCGCACTCAGCCAGTGAGTGCACCAGCCATTCCTACATAGGATCCGAACCCGCAGCGGGAGCATCGCTGCGCTCCTAGCGCCGCACTCTCCCGAGTGCGCCATGGGGTTGGCCCTTCTTGTCATCATTTCTGATCAGATTGATCAGTAGTGTTTATACAAATGGATTTTCTCCATACTTTCTTACCTTCTTTCATGGCTACTTTTGTTTTTTAGTCAAGGGCAGAGGTATAAGCTCTGAAGTAGAAATCAGAATGTTAGATTCTGAGCAAAGCTCTGCTGCATTAAGTCTGCAGCCAGATTTAGTGGTTAGAATTCTGGATTTTCATTCCTTTGGTGGAGAGCCAGTTACTGTATCATATAGTGAGTACATGACCAAAACACACTAGATGATAATGATACTATTTATTGAACACCTACTATGTAGCAGGCGTTGTGCTAGGTTCTTAACATATGTTATAGCTAAACGTCTAAACTTACATGGGGTACTATCACAATTTTACCAATGAGGAAACTGAAGTTTAGAGAGTTAAGTAAATCCCCCAAGGCCTAGCAGAAAGTAAGTGAAGGGGCTGGGATTCTAATCCAGGTCTGTCTCTCCCATCTCTGCTTCTGCATTTCTGCTCACTTACAATCTAATTTAAAAACATTTAGATGCCAGTTCCAGGATTGATACAGTAAGCCTATTACTGGTGTCTGAAAAAAACGCACATTTTTTTTGTTTCAATAATTAAAAGGTTCTAGAAAAACAGTTCCCTTAATTTCAAATGTTGCCTATCACGTAATGCTTCTTCTAATGCTTATAATATACAAACTTAGTTTTATGTTTTTTAAAAACAGCTTTACTGAGGTGTAATGGATATACTATAACTTACACATGCTTAAAGTGTATGATTTGATAAATTTTTACATGTGCTTACACTTGAGAAACCATGACTACAATTAAGATACTAAAAATATCCATCACCCTGAATTTCCTTATGCCATTTTGTAATTTCCTCCCTGTCCTCCCCCATGCCAAGGCAACCACTGGTCTGCTTTCTGTCACTATAGATTAGTGTGCATTTTCAAATTTAACATAAATAGAATCATATAGTATGGCTGGCTTATTTCACTCAGCATATTTATTTTGAGATTGACTCATGTGGCATGCATGAATAGTTCATTCTTTTTTATTGATGAGTAGTAGTCTACTGCATGAATATATAAGGATACCTCAAAAAGTTCATGGAGCCAAGGGCAACTCCCTCCACCCGGAAGCAGGCAAGACAGCACACCCAGGGTCCTAGGCAGAAGCTGAGGGCAGCCTCCTCCCGCCCCCACCCCCCAGGAAGCAGGCAAGAGAACATGCCAGAAACACCACTTCTGTGCAGGTAGCCCACCACAGCCACGGCTGCTGCAAAAGTGGCTTGATGCCCATGGCTATAGCCATAGCCACCATGCAGGCAGCCTGCCAGGCAATTGACTGCATTGACACAAGGAGAGTCAACAGTGGAGACTGGAAAAAGAAAAGGATGTCTCTCTCCTCAAAGCCTGCTCCAGAATAATAGAAGAAGCAACTGCTCTACCAGATGACCAGATATCAACATAGAGATACTAGAAATATGAAAACCCAAGAAAGTACTACACCACCAAAAGAATACAGTAATTCTCAAATACCAGACCCTATAGTAAGTGGTAATTATTAGTAATATAGTAATTCTCAAATACCACATCCTTGAAATGATTGAAAAGGAATTCCAAGCAACAATCTTAAGGAAACTCATGAGAAGACTCAGACTCAGTCAGACAACTAGAAAAAAATCCAGGATATGAAGGAGGAAATATACAAAGAGATTAACACCTTAAAAAAGAATGTAGCACAACTCATGGAACTGAAAGATTCACTCAAAGAAATAAAAAAACAATCAATAGCTTAAGCAGCAGGCTAGAACAGGCAGAAGAAAGAATTTCTGATCTTGAAGGTAGTCTTTTCAAAATAACCCAGGCAGACAAAAATAAAAAAGGAAAAAAAAATTTTTTAAATGAAAATCTAAGAGAGCTAGCAGACAACCTTAGGTGCACAAAAATTTGAATCATGTGTTTTCCAGAAGGGGAGTGGAAAGGAAAAGGCATGGAAAACCTATTCAATGAAATAATAATGGAAAAGTTCACAGGTGTTGGGAGACATGTATCTTCAGATCCAGGAGGCTCAAAGATCCCCAAACAGATTCAACCCCAAAAGATCCTCTGAGACACATTATAGTCAAACTGGCATAGCTCAAAGACAAAGAGAGAATCTCAAGAAGCAAGAGAAAAGCACTAAGTCACTTATCTATAAGGGAGCCCCTATCAGACTAACAGACCTCTCAATAGAAACTCTACAGATCAGAAGAAAATGGGATGATATATTCAAAATACAAAAAAAGAAAAAATACTAAAATGGGATGATAAACTCAAAATACCAAAAGAAAAAAAAAAAAAAGTATTCCAGTCAAGAATATTACCCAGCAAGGCTATCCTCCAGAAATGAGGGAAAAATAGTGTATTTTCCAGACAGACAAAAACTGCATAGCTCACCACTACACCAGCAGTACTACAAGAAATCCTGAAGGGAGTCCTGCATCTGGAATCTAAAAAACAATAATCACTACCACCAATACACAAGAACAGAACCCACTGGTAGCACAAAAATGCAAATGAGAAAGAGAATCTAAATCTTACCAGCCAAAAAACCCCATAATGACAATGTAATAAGGCCCCTGCTTTATTTTTGATTTTAGTAATTTCAGTCTTCTTTCTTTTTTTCTTGGTCAGGCGGGATAAAGGTTTGCAAATTTTGTTGATCTTTTTAAAGAAAAAAAAAATTGGCAGAATATATGCCAAAATATTGCTAGTGGTATTCCTTGAATAATAGAATTTATTATTTTCTTTTTTGTTCCTTCATATTTTCTAAATTTTTGACACTGTACATTAATACACATACAATTTATTCCTACATCTAATACTACAATGTACATGTAATTTCTGAAGTGCATAAGTGTTATTTTGAAAAAGTAAAAAATACATATATTAAAAATAAGAAGTTCATAGAAAGATTCATATTATCTTTTAATTACATTTTTCCATGAACTTTTTGGCGTACACTCATAGTACAATTTGCTGATCCATTTACCTTATGTTAGGGTTACTTCCAGTGTTCAGTTATTACAAAGAAAGCTGTTATGAACATTCATGTGCAAACTTTTGTATGGACATAGGTTTTTATACCTACAAGTGGGCCACATGGTAGCTGTATCTTTATGAAACTGCCAAATTGTTTTCCAAATCCAAAGTGGCTGGACCATTTTACATACCCACCAGAAACGTATCAGAGTTCCGGTTGCTCTTCACTGTTGCCGATAATTGGTATGGTTAAACTTTTTAATTTTTAGTACCCTAATCAGTGTGTAGTGATATTTTGTTGTGGTTTTACTTTGCATTTCTCTAATGACTAGCAATGTTAAGCATCTTTTAATGACTTATTTGCCATCCATGTATCTTCATTGGTGAAGTGTCTATTCAAACCTTTCTAGGGCCGGCCCGGTGGCGCACTGGATAGTGCGCCGCTTGGGAAGCGTGGCGGCGCTCNTACCTTGGGGGGGGGGGCAAGTAGTATAGCTGAAAACACCTTTGCTTGACCCAGGGTCACAAAGATTTTCTTCTGTATTTTCTGCTAGAAATTGTTATAGTTTTAGGTTTTACATTTATATCTGTGATTCACTCTTGAGTTATATTTTTGCATATGGTGCAAGTACAAATCCAAGGTAACTTTTTTTTTCATATAGACATCCAAACATTCTTGAATTATTTGTTGAAAGGACTATCTTTTCTCCACTGAATTGCCTTTGCACCTTTGTTGAAAATCAGTTGAACATATATGTGGGGGTCTTTCTGTTATGTTCCATGATTTCTATCTTGACACTAGTACCATCTATTTTGATTATTGTAGCTTTGTAAGTCTTGAATTCAGGCGATGTAGGTTCTCCAACTTTGTTCTTTCTCAAAGTTGTTTTGGTTATCCTGTGTTCTTTGC